TCTCTCCATCGTTTTCGTGGCCTTCCCACGTCTCTTCTTCCTCTCGGCGCGTATAACAAAGCTGCTTCGGGAAGTCTGCTATCACTCATACTTTCCATATGTTCTACCCATCTTTGTCTATATTCTTGCATTCTAGTATTAATTGATATCACTAGTAACTCTTTTCTTATTTCTTTATTTCTTATTCGGTCTTCTCTTGTGCATCCGTTTATTCTTCGCAGAAATTTCATTTCACTACTTTGTATTGTTGTCAGTGTTTTTTGTGTTAATACCCAGCTTTCGCAGCCGTAGAGTAATGTAGGAACTGTCATGGTAATGTAAAAGTTGGTATTTCTAAGGTACTACTGAAAAGTAATCCCGGCCTATCTGAAGATTTATATCCAATTGTGGTCTTTTCAGAACGGTCCTAAGGTCAAATGAGCCTTCTTTCCCAAAGAGATCCACTATTTACTAGCTTCGTTAACAGTAAATATTGGGTAAAAAGGATCCGATTGGAGTACGAGGCTTTCCACGCCATCTTCACCCCATTTCCAAAGTGATAATAAGACCATCCAGAAATATACGTTGCACTGTGAATGGAAGTCGGTAGTAACACATTCTCTGCACCCTAAGCACGTTCAACCTGAAGTCCCACTAGTACAAGGGGAAAAACAAACTAAGAAGTAAAAAAAAAATCCTCATAGTAGATGGAATGCGCGTAGTTGAGAGACAGAACTGGGGGCGCTCGGTCACTGGGCCAAGCAGTCGCCCACCTGCGCGCGCCTTAAAGGGGAGCTCATCCCGAAGGCGTATTGATTGGCGCCGTGACATTTGCCTGGCGCTGCCTCTTTAGACTCCCATGCATAATGGAGCCACCTGCAATTACGCTCTCCGCCGCTCGCGGCGGCCCAGGCGCCCGCTCCGCTCTTACTTTAATGCTACACGCCCCCGCTTCCGCCCCGCCCCGCGCCGCCCCGCGCCGGTGCTCGAACGGAGGGCCTCCTGAGGAGAGCGCGCCCATCCAACCAACTCCAACGCTTTGGCGACGGCGAGGCGCTCAACGCAGGTGAACCTTATTGCATCGCGCGCGCTTT